TTATGTTGTTTATGTAGCTTAGAATAAATTTCAAAAAACATAAATTTAATATGTAAAAGCCTATTAGCATGTTGACATTTTAGGAAGGGCTAAATTGCAACAAAGAGTCCAGGTGTTTGATTAAGTCCAACCCCAGCTTTATTGGAACAACCAGAGCAAAGGAGACCATGGCACCTTAATTTTCACAACACATAAATACTCACAACGCTAGAAAGCAACTGAAATTTTAATATAAAACCTTAACACGCCTTTACACTCTGCTCGGTTAGTTTTACTTTATAGCTTAACACCTCTTATGATGTTCTACTGTACCTTTAAGAGCAACCTTTAGGAGTTTTAATACAAGTCGTGGTGTGAGCCCGAATTTCAATTTCTTATGTTTATTTCACCTTTTTACAACAACAACCAAGAGTCTTTTCTACAGAAAGGAACAGAATGGTGGTTTACTGAGCCATCTGAGCCTCCATAGCTTGTGCTGTCCATTCTGGAGCAGTCTGACTAATCTTCTCCAAAAGATTGTTAACTTGGAAGCAAAGTGACTGAATCTGTTTGTCCCATGTTGGTAAGGCTTCTCGAGCTGAAAAACAAAATGCAGACAATGGTAGAACTCATCCTTACAGTCCTAGACTTTTTCAGCTAAATTTCTCTTGATGTTTATGATAAGCACAAGCCAATTTTTGTTATGAGGTCTGTGTTTCCAGATTTAATAGAATGTAAAAATCCACACAATTGCATAGAAAGCCCATACACTACTGCCATCTGGGGACCAAAACAAGAATAATATTGTCTTTAACGGTAACAGTACTGTAGGTTAAAATACACCGGTTATCTTTTAGCAGCAGCTTGTAAACAGTTAAAAATCTGAAGCTCCTTTAAACATATACTTCAACTACGGTGAGAAAAAAAAGAGCAAAAAGTTAGTCAAACTTACTTTCAAAGTGAACTATTCCATCTATCTGATCAATAAATCCATTCATGCGACCCTCTGTTATCATTTGAGAGGCTATCTTCTCTGCCTGAAAGATTAAAAAAAAA